ACATAAAGTTTCATTATACCAGTTATTGAGTTTCGGGACCATACAGAAAAAGCAAATCAAGATGACCAAAAATATTTCGAAATGAACAACTATCATATAGATCGTGATGCAAAGATGCGACCACTTATTTTAACGAATGCTTTATTAAGACGAGAACTACGTTCAATCCGGTTACCTTAGAGTTCACTCATATAAATATTGTGTGCTTTCCACTATTATACGCTTAATTGACATGAAAGAAATCCCCTTTTTTAGGCAAATAGCAAGATTAGGATAAGTGAGCACTCTTCCAGGTTGATTTAAATATTTCATCAATCCATCACAATGTAGTGACCACCGTCTTAATGTCAAGCTTATAGTGCTTATAAAGTTATATCAATCAGGTTTATTATATGGTCAATGAGCCAAATGTTTCAACATAAATAGCAAACACGATACGTTAGAAACCCATTTATGTGAAATCACAGTCTTCAGAAAGCATAAAAACTGATGCTCCTCAAGAGATTGGGATTCATGTTATACAGTAGCTTAGTCTTTAATTACTAAGCTAGTGATCTAAACTCACTTAAACTACATAACATTTGTGCGCTTTTTTAGGTAGTAAAAATGTTCAAGGAATCAAACTGTACCATCTAACGTTCTTCAAAAACAATTAGAATGTTCCTGATTGGCAGCATTTTGTTATTTTCAAGTAAATACTCAAAACAATTCTCTGTCTAATTTAACGAACCTCTAAGATATCATAACGAATAAACTGGGTGTGAACACATCACTCAATTGATGTTTTAAAACTGCTGACTTTCCTTTTGAAAATGATCGAAGAATTTCACGTTATCGGAAATAAATTTGCTTGTAAAATAATTGAGTACACATTGCTTATATTAGTCACATTTGAATTCACATATGTCCATATGTCCTTCAATTGTACGAATGCTGTCCTTACTTTGCCAATCCTCGCCTTTACATCTTCATAAGATTCATTTTTTTCATCGATAAAGCTAACTCCGCCTTCTATGGCTACTGCTGCTCCCATACCCACACAAAGGAAGAGGGCTGGGGTGGGGTCAGCAACCCCATCCCGTAGAAAACAACCTCGCAAAAAAATGCTAACTGGGATAAACAATTCTTATATAACTTAAACTTAAAAAAAGAAAACGAAAAGTAATCCTTAGTGATGTAAGAATTTGTGTAGGGTAACAATTGTTTAAATAGTTAAATACAAATCATCAACGTCAAATATTAGTTACATGAAGAAAATTTTGATTGATAAATATTATTTATTCATTTATAGTTTTTCGTAAGATTTAATTCAATCACATGAGAAAGATTTAGACATAAATTAAGATAAATCACATCTGATTTTCTATGTTTTCTGAGAAAAACATCATTTTATGTAAATAACTAATCAAATATCACCAAAATCTGAATTTCGGAGACAAATGATTATTAACTGTCAACTCTAAATGTTTCATTAATCAGTAATAATCTTGAATCGATTCGGATCAATAAGCGAAATCTTTATGTATTCACTTAGTACTTATCTTTCTACTTATAAAGTTTAGAAAGAACAAAATTTAATGAAATCTGGAAGTATTTGAGATGGAAATACTTTTAAAAAAGAATACCATATAGCCTACGCGTTTTGGATTGTTCTCTATTATCATATGATTACTTGAAATATGAATACAGGATTAGTACAGTTTTACTAATTAAATTGTAAACTATAACCATATTACATACTACATATAGTATAAATGACGGTAAAATGAAAGAAACATGTTAATTTAAAGTTAGTTTTTAAAGTGCCCAATCAGCAATTAAGTATTAAAAAATCTTGTTAATTTAAAGTATAGTAGTTTACGTTGAATAATATGATCAAAATGTTAAATCCGGTTCAGAATATTAAATATCTGAAAGGGTTAAATTCAAAAAAAGGTTACAATTAAAATACACAACTTATACAAAAATCAAGCTCACTGAATTCATTGTCAACATTATTTATATACTCCCATAGAACTTTTGAGTACGGCAGTATTCTGGTGTAAATGAATTTAAAATAATACGTTACGCTGTATATGGTATCAGTTTGTTAAATGGTAACTTAATGAAATATACTAATGAACGATCAGAATACCTCTGATTAATTATAATCAAAATATTCAGCATCATATTAATGGGAAATCATTGGAAATTTGTTTTGATGATCAATAAGTAGTCAGACCACCTTTAAATTTATAAATCTCAAACTAGTAATACGTCTTCTACGTTTCGTTCACTAAAAATATGAATTCATGCTTCTTTTTTAACCAAACTTACAGAGTATTTAGACTTTTTGAACTTCCTTATTACTCTATGTGAATGCATGCATGATTAAAATGAATAGGCTTTTAAAACACATGACAGTTTCAGTGTTTTATACCAAACGTTTTGCAGAAATTGATAATTCTGAAACCTTGTTTTAATACAATAGTTAGGCTTCTTTTCCCGAATCATGGTGTATCAACAAAACCGCAAAAATTTATAAAAGTTTTAGAATCTGTAGTCACATTATATAATCTAGGATTCGATCTGCACTAAGAACGACCTGACATACATGACATTGATCACCACCCAGTGATCAATCAATTGTAAACACATCTCAGTCCTACAGGAGATCATTAGCGATCCGGATAACTCAGTAGTAACGTCTCTGACTGTGAAGCTAGGTGATACGGGATCGAATCTGTCAGGAAGCATCATTTCCCTCAAGATTACAGGTACACTTTACTGACGAGTGCCAAGTAGCACGAAACCTAGGTCCAGGGTTTCCTGTTAACTACCTCCAACCACCATCTTATCTAAACTAGTGGCCACATTGGAACTTTGTCGATAGCATTTGACCTGCACTAAGAAGGATCTTACATACGTGACATTGATCACCACGCAGTGATCAACCCATTGTAAATATAATATACCTTTTTGTTGCTTTGAAGTATTGATAACTCAGCGTTAGTTTAGCTTATTTTTATTAGATATTTAATGACAAGTGATATTTCCTTTGCTAAAACGTCAAATGCTTTTATAGTAGTATTAAATCGTTCTGTATAATTTTACTGTACATTTCATCCCACTTTAAGCATTAATTCAAGATGATAACAGAAGTGTAATATTAGCCAAATTATGCATACGTTTAGCGATCTCATAATGCAACGAAGAAAATACTGTTTCCTAATTTCTGAGTCCTATACACCAGAACGCTTATGACGTTTCAGCTGCTGATTTCTTAGATTATTTATTTTCGCAGAATTATAAATGACAAAAATGTTGTCAATTTTATCCCTTAAATGAGGAAAAATAACGTTTACTAATAAAAAACTAGATACCTTAGGCTCACCTTTTCAACTTCACATTATTGCAATCTTCATGACAAATATTTACCCAAAACAAATTGTGAATTACATATTTCAAATAAAAAATCCTTATTTTATTCATGTTGCATTCCTTTCCTTTATCAACCTGATCGTAACTGTGAACTAGTGTTGATTGTGCAGTTATTTTCAGAATATATATATATATATATATATATATATATATATATATATATATATATATATATATATATATATATATATATATATGCTTTCTGTTGTATTCTAATTGGTAGAAAATTATATTTCTTACGTTTCGTGACTTAAAGTAAGGTACTTCCTCAGAATAAATAACTAACCGAATTAAGCTAATACAAATTTAAGTAGTAAAAAGGAAACAAAAATTTTTTCCACATCGTCTAAAACTAGGTGAATGTGATATCATATAAGTACTGCTTCATTCTATCATTTTAGGTAAATAATAAGAATTTTTTCAAGAATTTTCGGCCGATTTTTCTATTAACCTAAAATTGAGGATTAAAATTAAGCGTACACGGTGTGGCAAAGCAAAAGCCACATTCCTACAACTGAAGAACATATGGAACTCAAAACAACTTTCAACCAATATCGAAGTCACAATCTTCAATACGAACGTCAAGACAGCCAGTTCTCTTGTATGGAGCTCAAACTTGGAGAACTACTACAAACATCATCAAGAAGGTACAGGTGTTTATAAACATCTGTCTACGCAAGATACTTAACACCCAATGGCCGGATACCATCGGCAACAGCCTTCCGTGGGAGAAAACAAACTAGCATACAGTTGAAGAGGAAATTAGGAAAAGACGATGGAAATGGATAGGACATACATTACACGAATCATCAAACTGCATCACGAGGCAATCTGTAACTTGGAATTCTGAAGGGAAGCGGGAAAGTGGAAGGCCAAAGAACACATTACTTTGGGGAATAGAAGCAGATATGAAAAGAATGAATAAGAACTAGAAAGAACTGGAAAGGATTGCCCAGGACAGGGTTAAATGGAGGATGCCGTTGGGTGGGCGGCCTATGCTCCTTCACGAGGAGTAACAGGCGTAAGTAAGTAAGTAGTACAACGCTGTAGTAGAATATATAAAGTCTAAAAAATTGACTTTAAATCAAGTATTTACATTACTTCATTACGAGGCATAGTTTTACAGTAAATGAATATTCTCAATGTTTGTAATTATTCTAATGCATATATACAGGAATACCTACTGGTAACTATAAATTCTAAAAAACTGATCAGTTTTATCAAATACAAGACAATGTTTAACTTAAGTAAGTTGACTGAGCATCTACATTCTATGTGTGATATGCATATGATACTACAAATTTGTGAATTTGGAAATCAAAATTAACTTTTTTTTAAAAAAAGAGATGATCATTAATACAACATGAAGTTAAATGAAATAGATTTGAACAATTAATAGTAAGTTAAGGTGCAAATAGACAACAAAGTGTGTATGTAGTAACAAGTGAATTTTGATATTGTTTCAGTTTTTCTTATTAACAATATAACAAATAAAAATTAAGGCAATACTAAGTAGAAATTTATGTGTTACCCGAGTCTGTATGCTTTTATTACAAAAGTCTGTTTGGCAACAGTCATAACTAAAGGAAGTAAAATTTCTTTTCCAGTAATCAAATCCACAATCAGCTGCACAGAGTCTATGTGGAAAGGGTATACCCTTTATATTAATTTTCTGCAATAAAAAGCAAATGAATATAATGAAAATATATCAGATGAATAAAACAACCACAAAGAATACTCCTGTCCAAAAACATTCAAGTCTTCGTATTAGTCAAATAGAAATCTACCCCCAATTCCAACTGATCACTATCATTTATGTACATATATTACAAAAATGAAGATGGCATTGTACTAAAAAAGTTTTAGTTGTATTAGTTCTTAAACCTTAAATGTAAATACAAACACACAACTTTTTTTTGTTAATTATTCACCTGAATTTAATAACAGTACGTTGGATAAATCAAAATTTATAGCTACCAATCCTACACATGAATTGATGTAGCATTGAATCAAATATAGTAACATTTTAGGTCTTCCTAGATTGTTCAAATTGATTAATGGAAATTCGCTTAGTCAAATCCAATAAATAAATGAATAGTAACAAAAAAATACTTGAATACCGTTTATGCTTTGAACTTACTGCACACCATTTACAATCTTCTTGTTGATAAACTAATGGTGATTGTGGATCAAATGGTATTGAACAGAAACCGCATGTGTAACACTTCAATGATAGACCTGATATTGAAAATGATTAGGAAAAAAATATAACGTATTTGTAGAACTGTATAACTATGTATATGTTGTGTATATATACTACTTCTGTAACTATTTTTATCCAACACAGGATCAATTTTGATAAAATCATCCTTACTTATTAATATGAGTTTGTATATATTTCTCAAAATTTCAAAGTAGATTCTCATGAAAAGTTTGTTATTGGAAGCCAGAGAAGACTGAGTGATTTTTCCAGCTGACATCAGTTTTGTGGTAATTACAGGGACTAAACTGAAAAATCCATTATCAAGTATTAATTCTAATAATGATGTGTTTATTAGCGACTAAATACAAGGTATTTTTCAGACGTGTTTCTTTAAAATACTGGCATTGCTCCTAGTATGGCTATTTATTATGACTAAAGACATAAATGGTTACTTCTCCCTGTATAAGTGAGCAAGTACTTATACAGCTTGATATATAGAAGAAAATTAAGAATGCAGATCAGCCCTTATTGACAACACAAAAATAATACACAACAGACAAAACCATCCTCCTCTCACTGTTTTAAAAACTATCAAAAATACGACGCGTTGTCTGTACTTTACTTACCTAGTCAGTAGGCGAAATTGAATATCTTAAGCTAGGTAGTAATTGACACAAATTAATCAGTAACTAGACGCATATATACATTTCACAATATCATTTCATTTAACTGCACTCACTAACAACATAATGAATTACAAAGTCACATATTCTCTTCTTACTACTGACAAAAACAAATGTGAAGTACTCATTTGTTGGTAGAGTTTACCCAGATGATTTTAGTATACAATAAATATGGATAATATTGGATTTTTAGTTCTAATCCCGAAATCTCTCCTTGTATCTATGACATATATACACTAAAAACACTTTCGGCTAAATATAAATAAGACTAGTGTCATTAGAGAGTTTCTATAACTACGATTATTTTGCAAGCAATGTAATGTCACAGTCAAAATATAAAATATTTTAACAATTAATTTCGAATGAAAAACTGCAACAGAATGATAAAAAGAACGTGTAACATCTACAGTAACAACACTGAATTTAGCTATATGAAATTTAACTAAATTCGAAAATGTAGTAGACTAACTGAATTCGAATTCTTTCCTACTATTAATAATAATGAAGACAAATAAAACAAATAAAAATATGACATGAAATCTTATCAATCCCAACAATATAGATAACATTCAATATCTATTAAATTATAGTTTGTGAAGAAAACAGCATTAGATAGATAGAATAACCAGAATCATTATCCGTTTAATTAAAATGATTTACTGTTCGAAGGAAAAGTGTGCTACTGATGTCAACATATATAAGTAGTATGTATCATCAGTCGGAAGTGAAATGCCTGGCAAGCAGAAGATTAAGAAGATTGAAGAACAATGAACGAGAACAGAGAATGATTGGTTTGGAAATGAAGGAACAATAAAGTCTGAGACGATTGATTGACATTTTGCAAATGAAGTATTTACTGTATGGATCTCAGATTTTACTGATATGTTCTATAATTCTGTCTTTAAATACATTCGATTGTCCTGTTCGCTATTATACACAAGTTGGTTATACTGATATATACCAATCTAAATTATATACGTACCAGAAATTAAGATGTAACTTCAAGTTATAACTCCAAGTCTTCAAATATTCACTGGATTTTGTCGTTTCCCCTAACAGTTTATGAATTACACCACATCGCTTTGAAACTTGACATGAATGATACAACACACTTTTTTAAATCCAACCGATCGAGTAAACTAATCTGAACTCTTCTTGAAATACTAAGATGAATATGTGGAGAGTTATCACAAGGGAAGATCATGATGCATTATCTTCGATTATTTATGATAATATTGAGGATTAAAATTAAATGGAGAAAGAAGTAAATTTTTATATTAAATACTTTTTCCATTCAATCTCATTCCACTAACAAAAGGATTGTGGACCGTTTTTATTCCATTTTCAACTTCCCTGGATTTCGCCTAACGATACTAAGATTACTATGATTTTAAAATAATAGTCAATTTGAACTAAATAATTCCCCGGTAAATCAGAAAACACTTAATCTTGATTAAAAATTGCTTTCGAGCAGTTACATTTTACATGGTAAGTCGTAGTGAAGCTAATAAAGGTAACAAGTCCTATTAGAGGGATTATGTAAATTATGTATAACACTGTTTAACATTTGTCATAAAGTGATGTTATATTGTCCAAGTAGAACAACTGAATAGAGTAAAACTCCGTCTACTCTACTTTTTGGTACATTACTCGTATATGAACTATTCATAGAATAACCACTATTTGGTATAATGTAAAATTAACAAATAAACACTTACAGTATTCTGTGTTTATCAAAAGCAACATTGTCATTAGTATAATTTGTGCAAGATACACCTTAGTCATCTTGAAGTGTGATGAGATCTAAGTCCTAACTCCAAAGGTTTTGTAATTATTTAATTTTACTGTTTTACAAAATGTGCTAAAATATATTTTTTAGTGATTAACCAATAAAAAATATAAATGATCAATGCATACAGCTGACAGATTAAACATATACTGTCTATCAATTACCAATATTGTTTATAGCTATGATTATTACTAATTTAAACTTTGACGTTTGCCTGAAAACTTTAATTGATTATTCACTCATATACATTCGTTTTTTATTGCTTACATTTCTTAATACAATTCTTTCAGTTTTATGTTTATCCTGAAAGTCTTGATTTCACTTGTTCATGCACTCTTAACTATAAAATTGAGTTATACCCAATAATAGAACCAGATGTGTTGATGAACAAGTTTAAGACTTGTTAGAGAGAAAGAGAAACATGTTTTACACTAAATCGAGACACTTATCGTTATAAGTAAACTAAAATGCCAATTATAAAATGTAATTTATTACAATACATCATTCATAATAGAAGTAATTGATGAAATGATTTTATCATCTCATAAAATTACTTGAAAATTAGGCTTAAATGAAAAGAACTGAATAAGGAATGATTATAATCATAAATAATAAATCATTATTCTCCATTTCACATTTCTTGGATACACGTACTGATTAGAATGAGACAAAGTTTGTTCATTAGTCACTTTGAATAAATCAGTCGACAGTTTACCGAAACAGAGATTATGACTATTCTGGTTAAATTTCATATTAATAGTTTATTTGTTCCTCATTCCAGTTAACATACTGAAGATTCAGCAAAAAAACGATTTCAAACGAAGTGTAATTAATATTTTGAATCTCTTATATGATGTAAAACTCTGATTTCGACTGTCTGATAATGCTATTGTACTTACAATGAATATGGTTTACTATAACATATTATTCCTATTTTCATAACCGGTAATCTGAATAAACAGCTGATATTTAACCTCTCCAATATATATATACATCTTGCTCCAACCTGTTCTCAGTAGCCGAGTACTGACTTAGTATACTGACGTTATATGTTTGTTGTTAAATACTTAGATCTGATTGTGAATGGATCATTTTTTTCTCGTAAGACTTGATGTTATGGCTTTTTAAATATTTTGTTAATTAGTCGTATTTCTTTGATGTAGACGAGTTGTTATTTACTCATAAGTGATTTCTCAGAAATACTATAACTATAGAACAAAGGAAATAACTGATGCTTTTAAATAACACTGCCCGCCAGTAAACAAGTCCACACTGTTTCCCTTCATTACAATCCTATTCCATTCAACTAGTTCCCTTGACCATTTAGTTCACCGGTAATAGTCAATATTACACTCTACTTTATTAAACGTGAGTTAGGTCCCAGCTTTGTGTCTTTATGAGCTGAAAATTTCAACTAAACAAAGCACACATCAAATTCAGTTGCATTTTAAAGACAAAGAAAGAAATGTACGAAGAAAGTGCTCTTATGACATGGAAAGAGCTATGAATTAGTCACTCAAATTGTAATCCTTTAGAGCTTTCTGAACAGTCATAATAGTCTCATATTTCACAAAATACGGTACAATCAAATGTGGTTGACAGTCTTAAGTGGCTATCAGGTATTAACCAATAAATCAGCCTTATTTCTCATCAAAAAGACTTTTACTTGTCAAATTATAAGTATATTACTTAAACGACTATATGGTGAATACCCCTTATCAGATGGTGAATTTGATAAATTCATAAAAAGTTCATAATATTACCGTATTTCATTGTATTGCATTCTGTACTTTTGCATAATTTAAAATCAGTTGTATTGAGTCCATTTCCTACGAATCATTCATAAGATCTGTTCTTCTCAGTCCTACTCATTCAGTCATTTCAAGTTCAAAGTCGTTTATCACGTGACCGTCACTTTATATGTTCTATAGCTTAAGCGTTTTCTCAGGAGACCGGAAGTCGTGGACTCGACTTCTAAAATGTCCTTCTAGGGCTTCCAGGTCTTCAAAAGTTATCTAACTTAGAACAGTTCAAGGTTTCAATGAAATCCAACAATCTGAACAACCCCTGTCTGACGACTGTAAATTAGCTAGCTACATATGTTTTCAGTAAACGGAATACACCCATTAAGATATTAAATAAGAAAGACCGGTTCAGCGAAGAGTTCTCTTATTAGCTAATTCATTTTCAAATATATTTTTGCTTTTTTATTTCATGAGTTGCCTTTTCAACAAATAAATAATCTCACTAATTCAGTTTCAAGTATTTAAATCTTCATGTTGTTAGTATTAAAAACTGCAACTGATCAGTTTCTTTTAGGATATATGCAAACTGAGTGGATTACCTCGATATTCCCATTAGTAACACAGATTTTCAAGAAGAATGGGATATTAGCTTGTAGTGGGTTTCCGAACGTGCGTTTTATTCTGTTACTGATTTTTTCGCTCATAACACAAACGTTATGAGGAACAAGATTCAATATTTCTTCTGTTTATGTTTATCAGATTAAATAAAATAAGAGAAATTTCAAAAAGTAGCATACACACAGTGACTTCTCCAAAAAGGATGATAAATAGAGTAACGTTCCTTCTCTAAGCATACATGCACAATCAAAAATAGGAAGAAGGCAAAAACATTTGATTGGGATATTCTACTTTACTTTTTCTGAACGATATAATGACAAATGAATGTTAAGACAGTCATAAGTAGCATTTGATGAGTTACGCAATTTTGTGAACTCTTACTAAATGAATCAGTATGATAAAAGGAAAAGTCAAATACATTATAATGTTTTCCCCAATAGTTAAATTTACAATGGGGTATATATTGTGGAAACAGAATCTGGAAACCTCTTACTTCAATTGTCAATGATAAAAGAAAATAAAATTGAAGGTGATCGATTTAGATGAACAAGAATTTCAAAATATCTACTTATACTTACAGACAATCTGAATATCCGAGTATATCCAATTGTTAGATAATACGAAAAGTACACTATTATTTAGATTGACCGCTGTATTCTATAATGTAATAAAGTTATATTTTGTATAAGTTTGCAGGCAGTTAGCTTCTAAAAACTTGTCCCAAAACTTGTCAACAGATGTTATATGAAAATATTATGAACTAAAAAGTTTCGAATCATTAGTATAAATACGAAAAAGCAATCTAGTTTTTACTCCCGTTAAACACTAATCTTAGTATATTAAATAAGCTAAGTTTTCAATTAATAATATTATAGATGATTCAGTGTAGTAGGGAAAAAACGATAGACATGAAGAGTCCATATCGATATAATTTATCTTAATAGATGTTCAATAAATGACTGCTACCATTGATCACTTCAGTTTATTTGAAAATCTTGTCAGCTCTGATGGATTGGTGGCCAAAGATATTTTGGAATAAATTCAGACAACGTGGTCAGCCTGCACTGCGTATGGTACTGACAAGTTATCTGTCTGTTTGTTGAAAGATGTTTATACAATGCTTCATTTCGTGCTGTCTTATTTTATGATAATGAAAGGTGACCTTTTCAAGTAGATAATATTCATTTGTTATTATAGGAAAACTATTGAAGTTTGTGGAAGATTGCTACTTTATAGTTTAATAAGCAAATGAGAAGTCATAAAGTTATGTGTAGAGTACTAGACAAAGTTGTCAAATCAGTTAACAATACCGTGAATTTTCATCGACAGAGATAGCTGGGGCATTTATTCTGTATACTCAGTCGATCCCTACCACGATTAATACTTGTTGGTGTCGAAGTAAGTTGGGCTAAAGTAAGGTTAGGCCAAACTGAGAGAGGCCTTTGGTTTATAAAATCACCGACTACTAGAGAAAGATATTTTGTAAGGTCTGGGCTACCTCAGTGGGATTATATGGCCCGTTATTTCGTCGTCATTTAGATCGGACGATGTTCGTTGAACGGTTCTCCACTTTAGTGGCTCGAGTTCTGACTCCAAGTAAATCATATGAATGTTTATAATCGCTTATCCTCGTATATAATCATCGTCTTAAATAGCGTTAGTCAATAACGAAATCAAATAAGTCAAACAACGAGAATGGAATTTTGAATACATATATTTTGTATATAAAACGAATGGAATAGAATGAAGCAAACCGACGCGCAGTGGAGATTGCAGGTAAGCCAACTCTCATTTATAGTTACACAAAAATAAGTTACAGACATGTGATGAGTAATGGGATAATAAGAAGTGTACACACACCTACGCGCTCATATAAAAACAGTCAAGGTTGACAAGCGAATAATTAACAAGGTCAGAATGTGATTCAAATGGAATGGATAGATTGGGCTGTCCGAAAGCTAGAATAAGGTGTATGGACTTAACATAATAACCGAAACTAAAGGATCAGCTTGTAGTTTGAAATTAATGACTATAGATATTGGATGGCATTGTTCAATGTAGGTTGCCCTCTCACTTCCTTTCCCTGTCAGTGTTCTTTTAGTGAGGTTTTTTTCTACGAGATGGAGATGCTGACCCCATGACCAACCCTTCTCCTATATGTGTGCTTGGGAACGATAGTAACCCCAGAAGAGTTACAGGCGGAGTTCAAAACAACTGTCAACCAATACCAAAGTCACAATATTCAATACGAACGTCAAGACAGTTCTACTGTATAAAGCTGAAATGTGGACAACTACCACAACCAACATAAAAAATGTACAAGTATTTATAAACAATTGTCGATGTAAGATACTCAATGTCCGTTGACCGGATACCATGAGCATTAGCCTACTGTGGGTTAGAACAAACCAGCTTCCATCTGAAGAGGAAATTAGGAAACGTTGCTTGATGTGGATAGGACGTACATTGAGGAAAACATCAGACTGTATCGCCAGACAACCGCCAAATTGGAATCCTGAAGGGAAACGGAAAAGAGGAAGGCCAAAAAACATATTGCGTCGGGAATGGATGCAGAGATGAAAAGTATGTATAGCAACCGGAATAAACTGCAAAGAACTGCTCAGGACAGAGTTGAATTGAGAATGCTTATTGGGGCCTACGCTCCTCCATGAGGGTAACAGGCGTACGTAAGTAATTGAGATTGAATAGATCTAGAAAAACATAGCATGAATGGCACTATATACAAAGACTCGATATTTAGACATTCTTATACTCAGATATTCGATACTGCAAACAAAATATGATAGACAAAGAAAAGTTCATGTGAATCAGTGTAACAGAAATGCCAAACTCTGTTTGGTAAAGCGTAAACCACTGTTTGTAGTCAGACATAAAGATAAATCAAAGATTTGATTAATAGAGTAGGTGATAAACATCTATACGTACTATATGTAGAAACAGACAAGGTTTTATTAAACAGATTATTGATGAGGTCGAAATATGTGCGGATAATGACTCGAAAAGAATAAATAACTTTGTCTATTCAAAAGCCAAAATAACCCATATAATCGTGACATAGTACTAGACACTCCAACCATATGTTGTCATAGAAAAACATGTAATCACTATATCAAAATGACCGTTAGACGTCAAAAATAGCTACATGTAATAATGTGTGCCTTCCATGTACAGAAATTGGTTATGAAATGTTCAGAATGAGTATCAAACCAACAAGAATTGATGAAAAAAAACTATATGTTATAAAATTCTATCTTGAAGTTGCTCTTTTTGCTTCTTGATTTGTTTTTCTACGTCCTCTTTGTAAAGAAAGATAAAAATTGTATTCATAAAGCGTTTAATAGTAAATTCAGCAGAGTCGATATTGGTGTGCTACAATCAAATTTCACTTCTAAATATATCTCGTACTTCCCTCAGAAAGCTTGATTTTCTGATGTAAATTTTAACATTTCGGCTATTGGATCAATTATACCCAATAAGATTTTTTATTTATTTTAATTAGTATTAGACGGATCATAAAAAGCCTGTCATATCACATGATGTTTCTAGGCCATATGGGTTGGCTATTATGATTAAGTAAATTTCTTGTCTAACCAAGATTTTTGCTTGCACATTAGTTTCTGTAAGCTTTTACCAATAAAGCTTCCCACTGTTTTGATCCGATTGGTTTGTTGATTAATTATTTAAATAGCAACAATCCAAAAGATTTATACACATTGAGATTTTAATCAATCACAAGCTACATTGGATACTTTGATGAAAGCATTCAAAAGACAAACGTTGAATATGTGGTATTTTTTGACAATAAAGAACTGCTCTTATCACCACAAAAGAAACTTCTAAGTATTCTGTAAACCTGTAGACCTAATACGTGGCAAAAGTGAAAACAGGTCCAATCCATACTGTTTTACTGTAGCTTTCTACTGTGACACTAGAATAACACTGATTCTAAAGATACATGAAATAATAAAAAGTTCATCTACTGGTGATCTGTATCTGTCAAAGCATCCTTAATTAAACACAATACCATCTACACTTAAATCGTGATAATATTCGCCTTGAAATTCAGTATCCTTATAATAATCAAAGTCTCTCCTGAATTATCATTTGTTTCTCATTGATGAATATATTTTTATTTTAAAGAGCCTTAGGTTACTATAAAAATCCATAAAAAGCTTAGTTAGGTATATTTCGAAGTTAAATCTAATACTAGAAATTTATGAATATGATTTAGTTTTTTTGCATGAAATCTTTTTAGCGAGAAATTGAATCTTGAACTCCCTTAGTTTCACTTCATGAAATTACAACAGCAAAGAACTTCTAGTACCTTAAATATTAACTAGATAAAGATGAATAGTGGCTAGCAATGGAATGCATAACTCACGTTTCGTCCCAGAGTGAACATGCAGGTACATCCAGCTGACGAGTCCCAAATAAAACGAAACTTGCGTCCTGGATTCCACTGCTAGCCGCTATCCATCTTTCCTTAAAAATGTATGTGACTTAAGGCTCTATCGAGACAATCCTCACAAGAAGCATATATGCCAACAACGGACCGATCAATTGTAGTCCTAAATAACAATGAGAAGATACAAATAAAACAACACCAAGTGAATTAACTAGATAATTTTTGTAGTTGAGTGACTAACTTTTGAGTGTCACAAAATTTGTTTAACAGAATGTTTTTACTAAGACATTTTATCCATAATTAAGTTTCATGTCCAAAAATAGTCAAAATATCACAAATAAACTAGAAAATATCATCTTAGTAATGATATAGTTCTAATTGACGAATGCATCGGATTTTCAGAAATTTTTTTTCTGTTGAAAGACAAACCAAAATAAAACCAGGTAAAACATAAGAATCATTACTGTGTGTAAACATGATCAATTTTAATGGGTGACTGTATTAATTCTAAACAACACATGATAATGTATCATTCCAGTCAATAAATGTTCAGATTTGTTTAATTAAATGTAATATCAACTAATCAACACCTACCATATTCTATATTGATTAAAATCAACATCACAAGTGGAATTTGTAAATTAAGCTTCATAGTAATAGGGAATTATATTGAAATCAATTTCCTTTCTCAGGTATCTATGATTTTATCAGTTATACAAGTTATGCAATTCTAGTATTTTACAAGATAGTTGTCGTTACAAGGTTAAAAATATTTGTGTCGATGATTAACCAATGGGAAATTTATATAGAATAGTGGGTGTTTTTAATCTTCACTGCTAACATAAACATTAAACATAAACCCACTCTCAATCTTTTATTATAGCTTGAAACATGAATCTACCTTATTTAACAGTTGATGTATACTAGAAAATTTTCGACATTTTTCCACTTATCACCACTTTTCATCTTCGTCCAACGAATTAAAACGTTAATCATTCTATGTGGAGTTTCATTACGCTAGATAGAAAAAGAAAGTTGAGCAACACAGTAGACAGTGGTAAAGAAGCGAGAAATAAATTACACATTCCCTTGAAATAATTTCTCGTTAAATATAGCTTGCATAGGAATAGTAAGAGTCTACTCTAATCACATATTACCTGAAATAATAGAATCTGATTCTTAATAAACGCATAGTAGAAGGTTTAGCCACTTTCCAGTTAACGGTAGTTGAGAATCAAGTAATGAGGGTTGGATACAGTATAATTATAACTAGAAACAACAAAACACTCATTTCTGATTAACAAAACAGGTATTGGAAACGTCTATGACAATTTATCTGCTTGTGGGAACTAATTTGTTTCAGCTTGCAGGATTGTAGAATAATTTAAACACAATTTAACAACCAGTCTAAGCTTTAATATGTTAACATCTCTGATTTTAATCAACTTGTAGTGTCTGTTAGTGTGTTAAGCCCACACACCTTATTCTAGCTTTCGGACAGCCCAATCTATCCATTCCATTTGAATCACATTCTGACCTTGTTAATTATTCGCTTGTCAACCTTGACTGTTTTTATATGAGCGCGTAGGTGTGTGTACACTTCTTATTATCCCATTACTCATCACATGTCTGTAACTTATTTTTGTGTAACTATAAATGAGAGTTGGCTTACCTGCAATCTCCACTGCGCGTCGGTTTGCTTCATTCTATTCCATTCGTTTTATATACAAAATATATGTATTCAAAATTCCATTCTCGTTGTTTGACTTATTTGATTTCGTTATTGACTAACGCGTTTCGAGACGATGATTATATACGAGGATAAGCGATTATAAACATTCATATGATTTACTTGGAGTCAGAACTCGAGCCACTAAAGTGGAGAACCGTTCAACGAACATCGTCTGATCTAATCGAAATCTAAAATAAGGGCCCCACAAAAAGTGATGAGCCCGCCATCGCCGACGAACTCAATAGGATCCACAAACTTTATGCATTGAATTCATACATTTAGTCAATCTTCAGACAATAAAGAACTGGGTTCTTTGTTTAGTATTTTGAATCAAAAAGGAAATATATTTTACTATTTCGATATTTATCTTAGAAAGTAGTTATGTTTACAACTTGAAAATGTTTCTGTCCAAGGTAACAGTAGCACGGTCAATTTTAGAGTCATTTTTAACCTGTGGTCATAATTGTATCATTTGAGATTTGAATAAATGTAATTCACTTGTAACTGGTACTTATTGCTCGAGGACGGCCCGTTACTACCCAGCGGCAATAATAACTTTACCAAGGTAAAGTGTTTGTCCTAAAATCAAAACGTAGATTTTATTTTTCCCCCCTTCGGGTTACTGAAACATAACTTGTTTTAATAGTTCCATTTAATGTTGAGTTTACTTTCATCTTCCTTTAATGCTAGGATCACAATCCTTGTGCTCCTTAAAAAAAAGAATATTATTAGATAAGATCAGTAGATCCTCTCAAAGTAAAAATCCCAAACTACTTTCTAAACTCTAACGCCTTAGACGAAAACAGAAATAATTTAAGGCTGTCACCTCAACGTAGATCTTTGAGTAAATATTATTAGGTCTGTCAGAATGTTAATGGCTATAGTGATAATTGAATATTGTGAAAAGAAAATTTAATATGTCACCATGAAGTATCAGAAGGTATAAAATCGAAAACCAGAAAATTGTGTTTTCATACATATTGATCGTTTGAATCTTCCCATTGTTGTTTAGGACCTCAGTTGGTCCGGCTCTGTTTAATTATACTTCCCCTGATAGTCATATGAATTAAAGAATAGATTGGGAATCAGAATAACAGTTTTAATACAGTTATATCTGCTTGGTTAACGTAATGAATTTCCTTATTAAAATATACAATGATGCCTTAAATTCTAGTTTAACAGAAACTTTATTTGTAACTACTCAGCAATGTACTCCATCAGTGTTGATTTTCTATTCATCATCAACCATAACAGTTGTCGACCATTTTCACACTACATAAACTTTTGTTTCATAAATCGTAATGTATTTTCCTCTAGTTTCTCCAAAATAGATAGGAGGGAAACTATTTTTATCACTACATTGTTTCCTTTTTATCTGATATCGGTTAATGTCATAACAGGTTGTGGACTTTCTGTACAGATCCAGGAGTACATTGTACGACTTACATACATAATTACGTCATTAAAACAAGTCTAAAATATGGAAAGCTATTCCAATAACCGAAGTTTTAAGTAAGTGGCTCAAAAGTTTATGCAAGTAACCATAAGCTGTTCGTACAAAGTAGAAGGTGCATACATGTTAACCCCAGTGACCAAATAAGCTTTATACTTTGAATATATATTTATAATATCCCACTAATCATTCTTTAGAGAATAAATGTCTTTCCGTATTCATGCAAACTCCAGTAGTCTAAAGAATAAGCTAATATCATTTCATTCATCGACTTACACTAAGTCGCTATGTGAGTGATTATTGTCATGGACTGATATTATTTTCGACATCATGAAAAACTTGGAAGTAACCGATAACTGTTTTTGTTTTTATATGGAACTAATCAGAAGTACTCACACTCTATCCTTCGTAAATCGAACCTGATTTCTACAGTTCCCAATGAGAACAAAATCGTGTGCCCACTAAGGACTTCACTTGAGGTAAGCATGTGAGATCTTAGTGGGGAATCGTAACTGATGGAGTTAGATCATACCGTATCGATTATAACTTTAAAATTAGATTAATCTTGATAAAACCACCTGAACAACACATTAGTAGCTTGTAATCTTTTTTGAATCTAGACTGCATAATATTTACCAGTCTGACCAATTGTACAATCTTCACACACCGATTTAACTAGATTCATAAAGTTAAAATTTGACAATCATATAATGTCAAATATGGTCGTGGAGAGAAGATCTATTCTAGATTAAAACCATTATGTTATTGGGATCCACAGAATTTCATACCATTCTCTCTCAAAAATACCAAATAAGTATCTGAATAAATGAAGCGAAAAGTGTAAATAGACTTTTAAATTATAGGGATAAAACATAATTATTTGTAGGTATTTACCATAATCAGGAAAGACTGATGTACTTTACTTCTCGCAAAATTTCCTTTATTTGATACATTCGTTTATATTCTAGTGCCATTTACATGATATACCTTTTAGTTGTCAGTTAATATATGTATTTCAGCAATCACGAGCTAAGTTAAAATTATAGACACTTCAACCAAAACTTAAAGTTATATGCTAGTAGATCGATCATCTGATGTACGTCCTGGTTTACAAATTTTATAGTCCTAAAAGTTACTCATGACGATTCGATCTCAACCCAGTCCTTCTATGATTGTTCAAGCTCATTACAAATCTGTCCTCCAAATTACTGTAAGTCGCCCGACATTACATCATGCCTTATCTTTTTGGTTCTTTGTTGTACTTTAGGAATCGGTGGTCATAAAGATAATTTTTTCGTTGAGAGATTCATAAACTCGTCCAATTAAAAGCATGACAAGATAATTTTTTGTCGATTATATTTGATGTAAAACATGAACAAAATATACTTGCTTTCATTAAAGCTCGTTATTTCAGTTGGTTTGCTAGGCCGTAACAATATTATGCACTGAAAACTCCATAAATTGGTTGTTTGTAATATGGAAAAACCTACTGTGCATTTAATTGAGATCAATATAGATTTTTTCGTCTGTAGTCGGCATATTATCATCAGAACCAACCGAACAAAATAAAAGTCTTATCACTACATTAATAAGCTGAGACTTGAAAAAAATACCGAAACTGTTACCAAAGGCATTCCATTACCTGTCACATGAATCCATCAGCTTACTTAAGCTTTTCTTTTTTATTTCTGTAAGAATTAACTTTTCAACACAGTTTGACAATGTGTGCAGCATTAGTTTTAATTAGTGTGAAATAAACCTCACCAGTCAATTGTTTTTACACTATCCATAATCTTAAAGTAATCGAAAATCGATATAGTGAATTAGTGAATATATGCTTCATTTACATCTTAAGTATCTTTGATTTACATATAAATCTTGAGGAGGTCCATAAGAAATCATTTTGAAATTAACTGTGCATACAAAATGTTTCACCTTTTTCTCTGTCAATCGATAAAGAGTTGGTGGTAATTCATTAAATTAGTAATCTGTTTGTTAGAAAAGGAAACCAACCAACAGAAACTTATTATTATTTTATTCTCAAATTTTACTTCTTATGTTTAGTGGATTGATGAATTTTTAAATAGAGATGGATGTTGGCTAGTAGTGCGCGGGTTTTGTCCTATTCTGGACTCATCAGCTGAATTTGTACGCACCCTAGTCGATATTCACTCCTAGTCTCGAACCTGGTACTGTTCGCTGCAAACGGCAGCTACTGTGTCCAAATATCCCCGAATAGGACAGAACGCACATCTTGGATTCCACTTCGAGCCACCATTAATCTGTGCTTCAAAAATTATTTACAGTTGTTTGAATATAATATGGACATTATGATGACAGATTTTGTACGCAGATTTATAAACGTTTATTGTAACGATAGTTAATCAATCACTTGATGTCCACATTAAGGACTATTTACAATGTTAGTGTTAGTTATCGTATGTCATTCTACTTTTCTTAAATCATG